AAAGGGGAAAGTAATGTGAAAAAACCACGTAATTGTAACAAGCAAAAAAGCACTATACAAATATAAGCTGTTAGATTGTTTCTAATGGCTGATAAAATATCGTCAAAGAAAAGTGCTTCCATAAAAGTTTTATTTATCCCCACAACAACCCTGTGAGGTAGGGTGATCAGGGCATTTGAAGATGAGAAAACTAAGTCTACATTACTTGTTCACGGCTATACTGCATAGTAAATATGTAGAAATTAAACTGAGATTTTTAAATATCCATGACTTTTATATTGATTCACATGGAAAAAGGCAGAGAGAATATTAACTCCCCCCTACCTTAATGCCAAAAGGACAATGCCTTGAAAAATCCCATTTCAAAAGATGAAAGTAGTATTTCATTGCTTATTTCTACAAAGATTTATAAAATAAAAAAATAGTGAAATATTTTACAATTAATATATATAATGGTCTCATTCAGGGATGTCCTTCAGCTGTATATATGATCAACTATTCCAAGTGCTAGAAATGCAAACTCTTAAAAAGTAGGAGATAAGAATGATAATGAGCAGTAGCCTCAATCTTCTTTATTATTCCTCCATGTATCTTGAGTAAGTTCTGTGAAATCTGGTCCCGGCTTAAAAAAAAACTACCAGAGATGTCTGGTAAACTTTATTTTAGTTGCCTACTCTCAAACACCGTCACATTATTTAAAACAGTGATTTCCCAAAGCTGGCTATTAGAATCACCTGGAGGTCTTAAAAACACACACACACACACACACACAAAACTCTCAGGCCCCACTCTAGATCCATCCAGTTTCGCAGGGGGTTAGGCTTTTGGAATCTGTATTTCTTAAGCTCTTCAGAACGATTCTAATGGTCAGGTTTGGGAAACACTGATGTATTTTAAAATACTAATATCAAAACCATAAAGTAACTAAGTATAAACTTGCTGCTCTCTTCTCCCCTTTCTAAAAATTTCTCAAAACACATTATACCCCCAGAACTCTTGCCTCTGAGCAAGTAATTTCAATTCAAGATACAGAGAAACATTTTATAAAAATGTATCCTAGTGAGTGAGACTTGGATTCCCATAATAATTTAAGTGGCATTTGAATATAAGATACTGAGTTTTGTGGTTCTTATTCTGAAAATTTTAAATGTGTTTTATATAGGTTCCTAGCAGGCTTTCAACTTGGGAAGATATGAGAAGTAATGACATATCAAGCATATCAGCACTGAAAAAATACTATACTCAAATATAGCTCATGAGAGGAATAAGAAAGTGAATGAATGACAACCTAAGGCCTTTTGGCCCATACATTTTTGTTCCCAGTCCACTCTTCCCCTATAAGGGGAAATAAAATAAACATTCTTTCCTAGTTGCTTGGCATAGTTATTCAGTGGGTAACTATTAACTAAGTTAATTTAGATACACAAGATTAAAAGAGATAACAAATAAATACCTAGGAAGACAAAGAGAAGTCAGTTCAGAAAACCTTAACTAGCTAATGATGTGGTATATAACACCATTGTGTTAGTACAATTAAATGAAGGCTTCAGTGTCCTTTACATTTCAGCTTTATGTGATTGACACAAGATGTGGAAGAGATCTGATCCTTATGAAGAATTCTGTGCTCGCTGTAAAGATTTGTAGGAATAATGACATGCTTTCTTCATTGATGAGATGAAGTCTCTCTTTTTCAGGCAAGTTGACTGAACAAAACAATGAAAACAAACTTCTTTAGAAGGCTGAATAAAAGTAATTATCTAGCTGAAAAAGTCATTGGCCAAAGATAACTTTTTTAAACCATTCTATGTTTAACACTTAAAAAACAAACAAACAAAAAAAGCCAACAACAACAACAACCAAACAAACCAGAAAAACCAGAGAAATATAAAAAAAAACAATGTACACATCCATTTTCACTGACAGGTACAAGAAAATAGCCATTTATAGAAGTTACAATGCTTTCAACAGCTCCCTCCCCCCCAATTTTGGGAAACAAGATAAAGCCATCGGGTAAATAAATATACATACTAGCTAATATAAAACAATTATGGTTTCAAATTGTTATCAACTCTTTAAGACTCAAGAAGAAATATGGTGATATAAATCTGATTAGGGCTACATATATTACACAGAATTAAAAAACACAACTGATTTAAACATCCTAACAATAATACAAATATTTAAAAGAATGTCTTAAAAGCCAGACATTTATCACTGGAAATATCACAATTATAATATGTACTTCAGATATGTTAATGTGTATATAGGTCACTTTTGCTGTGTCTTATCAGGTATGCAACTCTCCTGCATTTCCTACAGTCAGTTTTTAAGAGTTCATGTTTCCTGTGTGAATTGAAGGAGCTGGGCACATCTCAATTCACAAAATAAACACCTCCGCTTAACTAAATGGAAGTGTGTTTAAGATAACATTTACCAAAAGATAAAAGAAAATTAGGGGTAATGAGAAGATAAAACATGTTAAAGTAGAAGGAAGCTGGATAATTGTCTCTTTATAAGTTATTTTAAATTTTATATTAAATTTAAAATGACCCAAATTAAGTAATGAAGAAAAATAAATTGGTCTCGAAAAATTTTCTCAGGTCATATAAAATTTCCCTTTATTCCTTTACAGAATCTTGTTATGCTAGATTCCTTTGTCAGTTGACTTAAAGAACTCTCCTAGCATGGGACTGAAAATAGTTTACCATTAATAAAAGAGGACTAAAAGTTGGTGTTTATTTAAAGTGCCCAGAGGCACAACAGTACAGGTGCTTACGTTTCCCTTAAATCATGGGAAAGCCCTTTGAGACTGTTTGCTTAATCAGAAAAGCTTTCAGCAATTATAATGCACGCTGAAAGCTTAGATCTTCTTGTATAGGTTTAGGGTTTTACTGTTTGAGCATAAAAAGGGGAGCAAGGAGAAATGTAACTAGGTTCACAATTTTGAGCAAGAGCGTATGTAAAGGTAACGTATGTACATTTTATTTCAAGAAAGACAGAAGACAAACAGCATAAAGATGCCCAGATGCCCTAAAGATAAATACATTTCAAAGATTCTCATTAAAATGAATCTGGAGTATTTTTCCTGCAAGCAAAATACCTTTCTTTAAATTAAAACAAAAACAAACCAAAACAAATTAAAAAAAAAAAAAAAACCAGTATTCTGAATTGCAAATGCGTTTGCTTTTTTTTTTTTGCAGCAAATCTGCCATGATTATTTTTTTTTAATGAATAAGGATTTTCCACAAAACAGGCTTGCTCTACATGCTAGATTTTTTAAACAGTTCAGTGACACAATATGCTAACTACATACACAACAGATAATATAGTAAGAAAACACTCAACCTGATGAAAAGTTAAAATCTTCATTAATACACTGAAAATTGACATAACTCATGCCTTTAAAATCAAAAATACAAAAATTAAATGTTTTCCTAAAAAGATTTCCTTATTTTAAGGATTCATTTGAAAATGAAGCTGCATGTAATTTGTACAATAAGTTGTACAAGTAAACAGGTAATATACATAAAAAATTAAGTGACATACTCCTCAATTATCAGTTGTCCACCTTTAATTTCCAATACTGTACTTTCTTAACAAGCATACAAAATATCAAACTTCTCTTTAGAAAAAGTGCCGTTCTTTGACATCCTTTACACAAAAACAGTCTGAGCCTGTGGCATGTTAATGCAGTCGAGAGGCAAAGCATACTAACTTTTACAAATTCTACCTTCCATAAAAAGCCTCCCGAAAAGGAGATTACACGCCACTATAAAAATATCAACCTCTTGTGGTAGCTGCATTAGAGAACCAAGGCTTGAAGACTATTTTCATATAGCATAGAAAACCACTATGAGAGCATATTAACTGCATTGGTGGCTTGGGAGTTTACTGTGCCACAGGATTATGCATAGCTACTGTAAGGTACCAAGACTGTTACACAGAGTTTTAAATTGATTGTAACCAAGAGCATAACAGAGGTACTACCAGCCCATGCAAAATAACTAAAAATACTGAGTCACTGTGCTGAATACTTCATTCCTGGAGAAAACCAAAGGCAGCAGTAACCAAATCAAGCCCAACAGGTGACCAAACTCATTCTCCTCAAAGATTGGTGAGCACAGTGAAGTCTGAGGTATACCTTTATCCGTTAAATCCGTGTGCCATTGCAAGATATTACCATTTGGGGAACACATGCCATCACAATGGTTTAAATCTTTTGAATATTAGTCATTCATATATTCTTATCTACCCAGTCCTTTGATTTTTTTTAAAAGATTTCACCTACAGAATATTACAGAAACAAAATATAAATGCATGTCTTTCTAAATGAAACTTACATGGACTAAAAGTAGAGAATATTTTTAAACAAATATACAATATGCAGGCAGACAAAGCAGGAAAACGGCCATTCAAATGTATAATAAAAAACTAAAAACTGACTATTTCCAGAAAACTAGGAAGCGCCTCAACTAAAAGGAATGCATAATGAAAATCTAATCTAATACAGGTCAAAAATGTAAAAAGGTTATAAACCTTAACAGGAAAAATAAAACAACTTTTACTGGCCATTCCTGTTGAAATGAGAATCTTAAAGTAACAGAAAAGTGGCTACAAACCCACTTAGAGCACCAAACAGAGAGAAAATAAAAGTCCATTTTCATCTCTGTTATTATCATAAAATCCTGTGTGACTACAGGTCAAACTGCTGGTGGCAGAAACAGAATTCTTTATAAACTGCAGATGTCCTGTACATAAAAAAATTTCACCGGAGTTGCACTAGTTCTAAAGACTCTTCTGTTTTAGCCTACCTACTGTATGTATTCAATCTGAGATAAAGTCTCTTTCTGTAACCCTTGATTATTATTGGGCACCAAAGATAAGAAAAGCAAGACGGGGTACAAAAATGCAAAATTTCAACAGTAATGGCAATGTTTTTGTCTTAGTCCAAAAGGGTCCTGCATTCTCTCCCCCTTCAGTGATTTGACAAGTCTTTGTACTTAATCTGGGGGCAGCAAATCATGCAAGCGAAATCTGTCTCTGATGTGAGGTCGAACATCTTCATTCTGTGTGGAGAAAAAGACATTTTAAAAGCCATGTAAAAATATGATTCCGTAACACTGTGAACATTCTTCCTTTGCAAAGAAAATATACCACTATTTATTTCACTTTGTTTGCCAAATATAAAGATACTACACACAAGCAGTTAACTCAGAATTAAATTTAGATTAAAAGAACTGTCATTAAAGTTTTAATTCTGTAAAGAACAATTATGCACTAAGAGGCAAAACCAAAAGACTGGTAAAAGTGTTAAGCCACTGAATTCTACTTTATTTATTAGGAAAAAATAACACCAGAATAAAGTTTCAGTAGCACAAGCATTAATTCTAGACCTGAACTATGAAAGCAAAGTGAAATCAATTTAATACTGTTAGTGACTTCATAAGAAGCAGCCCAGTGAAAATAAAAACATTCAACCTGCAAATTATTAAATACTGAGAAGCATGATTTTGATATAGTTTACAAGGTTAGAAAATGCTTGTAATCCTTTTCAATTTTTTTTGCCCTAATCTCATACCAAGTTGACTTTAAAAGTCAGTGCACCTAAAGTAAAGTAATTAAAAAGATTTACTTCAATAGAGTTGAGGCAACAAGTGCAAAACACAACAAGATAAATAAGATACTTACCAGTTCTACAAGCTTCTCCAGAAATGGAATCAATTTTAGGAGTTCATTGTCATTTTTATCCATAAACCAGCTTTCTATAGGGATTCCATTAGATAGCTAAAATAATAATTAAATCCTTTTTATTACATTTTGCATACTTTATAAAAACTTAAAAGAAATAACAGATACTTAAGTACACAGTGATCTGCAGAAGTTACTGTGAAAAGGAATGCCATCAGTTTATGGTTGTTACATTCTGACAATTCAATAGTGCAAGAAACAGATGTTAAGGGATACATCAAAGCCCAATTGGTTTTTTAGCTTAATGTCTTAATATATATGAAACTAAACAAGAAAGATCCATTGAAACAAGTTTTGCAATTACGTAATTAAAAATATTACTTTATGGATTAAAAAAATAGTTACTATTAGTCTATGCTAGGCACTGTGAGAGGGGTGTTGCCAATGTAAACACTATCAGAAAGCCTATATACTTTTACACAGGGATTGTGTGACATTCATTGTTCTATTTCCAACAAATAGCAGGATAACCTGAAACGGCAGGACGTAACAAAATGATGCAATGGTATTTCACTGAAGAGAAGTTTAAAAACGAGAATGCAAACCACATGTTATAGTAAATAATCTCTAGGTTATCTTTAATATTAATGGAGAATACTATATTTAAGATGGTAGATAAATGAAATTATTTTATCCAGGAACCAATATGAAATTCTCAAAAATATATTTCAAAATGTGACCAATGACCTAAATTGAACACGTTTCAATACCATATGCAGTTTTCCCCATTTTTCTTTTTTCATCTTTTTACTGTTTACTTTTCACTTGTTCTTTCTACACCCAACCCAATTTCCACCATCCCTACTCTGCACTGATTTACTGTAAAGGAAATCTCAGACCTATCACACAAACACATTCATAATGTAATACATATCTTGCTGGGTGCCTGGGTGGCTCAGTTGGTTGAGCTTCCGACTCTTGATTTCGGCTCAGGTCATAATCTCAAAGTTTGTTAGTTCAAGCCCCTCATCGGGCTCTGCACTAACAGCGTGGATCCTGCTTGGGAGTCTCTCACTGTGCCCCTCCCTAGCTTTCGCACAGACACTTGCTCTCAAAAGTAATAAATAAACATTTAAAAAAAAAGAAAAAAAGAAAAATAAGGGGCGCCTGGGTGGCTCAGTCGGCTACACTTCCAACTTTGGCTCAGGTCATGATTTCATGGTTCATGAGTATGATCCCCATATCAGGCTTGGTGCTGACATACTGATTTAACAACTGATAAGAATGCTATTAACTGATGTACAGCTTATAATCTCTTCTTATCCAGAATTATTACTCAGATTTTTATCTATGTTTCATTTATTTAAAAGAAAAATGTCCACAAGAAATATAGCAATTTGGCATTTCTAATTCTAAAAGATAACACTAAAAAGGGAAATTCCACCAGTGAAAATTCTGTTCTCCTATTACATTCTGTTTGGCAGCATTTGTTCTCATTGTGGTTTTTTTTTCCAATCTCATTTTGTTTAGCAACCCTCTCTTCATACCTGATATGCAAAGGCTTGTGGTGAGTTGTCAATTATTATAGTCTTTGAAAGATCTCTTCCAAGGATATTTAAGTCCTTTATATAATTTCCTTGTACACAAACACAATGTTCACGGAAAAGCCGATGCCTAAACATAAAAATAAAAAGAAATTAACTTAAAAAAAAAACCTCCAAAAAGTGTAACACATACTGAAACAAACACACATACCACAGGCTTTACAGTCTTAGCCTTATTTTCTCTCACAAAGGAAATTCAAATACAAATGTGGGCCTAAGCTTTGGGCTACAGTTTTACTTTAAAAAATGTTAGCAATTATTGAAACCTTACAACCAAATATTACCATGCCTTTAAGAACTTTGGCTTATCCCAAAATGTTATATTAAATTATAAAGAGGGATTAAAAACTCTGTAAATTGTTTTTGTAATTTATTTACCCAGGAAAGCTCAGTTCAGATGCAGCATCTGGTTGTGTCATCGAGGTCCTGCTTTTTAACCAATTTTCCAGATGGTTGACTGAGGCACAAGGAGGTCAAGTGACTTGCCCAAGGTCACACAGTAAGTCAGTGGTTAGCCCCGCATTGGAACCCAGGATCCTCCTGGCTCCCAGTCCTTTGCTCTAACCAGAAGACCACACAGCCTCCCTATCCCTGTACATGCCAGAATAGAAAATATAAGAAGGAATGTTTCTGTGTTGGCATTTTCAAAAATGTTTTTCGTTTCCCTTATAGTTTTTGAGAAAAGCTGTGGAGGCCAAAACGAATGTTTATTCCATCACTTCATACTTTTCCCAAACACCCATCTTCCTTTTAATTTCGTGTGAGTGTGTATATGAATATTTGAAAAACAAGGATTGAATGAAATGATGAATTCAGATTTAAGTATTACAAATGTAAACTGATGTTTCACCAATGATAGATACTTAACTGAAAAATGGTGTACCACTAAAAGCGATTGAAGGTCTTATAATACTTATATACTGTCATAATTACATAATCTCATTTAGCACTCAAAATGTTAGTCTTGGAATATTACTAATAGTTAATACTGGTCACCCTGAAATACTCCATTTGCATACATTAGTAATTTGATAGTTTGGCTTCCTTGTGTCTTAATCCCACTAAACAATTTTTCAGCAGCTAGGGCCTACTTATATATACCTATATTTTTAATTATGGAATTTCAAGAAAAGGGCATTTTCCACCAACAAAATTGGCCATAGCTCTAACAACAACAAAACTCAACCTTAAAAACATCAGTCCTGGTGATGACGAGTTTTCCAACCAGAAGAAATGTAGTAGAAACAGTTCTCTCCCCCCCTTTCTATAAAGAAGACTTTAAATTAAATGATCATCTACCACTGTATGGTTTAAAGACTGTTCTACTTTGAAAAGGTAAGACCAGACAAAAGAATTTGAGTCCTGGATGGGCCTATAAAAGATTCCATTTTTATCTGTACAAACATTTACATTTGAGGAAACTAGACAGGCAGGTGCAGCAGGTACACGCAAGTCACTACTGATGTTTCTTTGGCAATAGCAGCAAACTCACCCAAGACAGGAGACAAATGAACATGTATGTGGATACAAATGATTACTGTAAATAAATTACACTAAAATCCCTCCAGTTATTCAGGAGCCTGAGAGTCAATAGCAGGCATTTGCAGTTTTAGAAAGGAACTACTCTTGCTGGTCATCAGATTTGCATTTGGAATCATGAGACTCAGATACAGGAATTTGAGTCTACCTTATCTTCAACATAGCACTCTAATGCAATACACTGTTCAAAAAGCTCCTCCTGTTTTAAATTATTCAAATACTAGATACAAAAACTAGATAAAACAAATTTAAACTCTCAATGTGTAGGTTTATAAATGTAGTTTAAATGAAGGGTGTTAATTTGTAACATTATAATTCCATGACTATGATTTGTTCCCTAGTAAAATGAAAGAAAGCTCTAAAAGAGAACAGAAATCTTTAGAATGAAGTCATCAAAACAAAATCATTTGTGTACTTTTGTTAAAGTTAGATAAAATAAGCATGCATTATACCTTTATGAAGAGAAAAAAAAATTTCATTTGTGTGTCTAATGCTTGCTTATAATTGGAAGCTAAAATGGGAAGTGACAACAAGGACAAATTTTGCTCCTTTAGGTTAAAAAAAACAAAAAACATAGTTCTATTTACAAGAAAGCAAATCCCCTAAACATGGACATCAGAAAAAGTCTTTTAACACAGTTGTAACCACTCTATAACAAAGGTACTATTAACAGTAGAAATTAGGACTTTTCACTAAAAAAATATGGGAAAAAATTCAAGAAAATGAATTCCTGGCTATTAAAGTTTTTATGAACCTTTTCTGGCATCTCTCTCAGCATTCTCGGTTAAAAAAAAAACAACAACATGGGGCGCCTGGGTGGCGCAGTCGGTTAAGCG